GAGAGAGAGAGAGAGACATGTTCCTAATAAATTGATTCTTCAATATCTCTAAAATTATATTGATATATATACATATATTTATTTATTTATTTATTCGTTTATTTATTTGTTTTATTTATTTATTTATTTGTTCATTTATTTATTTATTTATTTATTTATTTGTTCGTTTATTTATTTATTTATTTGTTCATTTATTTATTTATTTATTTATTTATTTATTTATTTATTTATTTATTTATTTATTTATTTATTTATTCATTTGTCCATTTATTTATTTATTTATTTATTTATTTATTTATTTACTTTGTATATATACATAGAAAATGAGTAATTACCAAGTTGAATGGTTGTGGTAATTGCAGTTTAAAATGGAAATGTCCTTCAATATTATCGACTTAGATTGCATGCCTAAATAGACATTCATTTAGGTATAAATTAAAAGAATGATATCTTTAGGCTTAAGCCTTTGGAATCTTTTTTTTTTTTTCCCTTCATATATTTCATATTCTGTTCAATTAAGAATGAATAATCCTTATTACTCTTACCTTTCTAAACATTTATATATAACAATTATTTTTTTTTTTTTTACTAAACTATATATGTTTTACCTAATAATAGAAATATTTATTGGGATTGTTTGTATTCGGCTAACAATTGACGAGTAAATTTTTATATGACAAAAGAATAGGAGTGATAGCAAGTGATAGTAGTAGTGATAATTGTAGATAATAAAATAAACTAATTAGATATATACAAAAATATTGAGCATATTTAAGTGTAAATATTGCTGGTGATATTTTCTTGGTTTTATTTTATTATAAGGAAAAAAAAAAAAGAAGAATGCAAAAGAAGAAGACATATTGGAAGATTTTCTAGTCTCAAATAAAAGGGAATTGAATGATTTACGCTTTGAATGAATAATTTTGAAATGATTTATCATTATATAATGCTTCTGTAGTAAGTATTGCTATTAGTTGAAATAAACAATTTTTAGAATAAGACAGTATCATTCGGATATCATCAATCAGTATAAGTTCTGTTAAGGATTATTACATGAAATTAATATACAAATAATTCATCTAATAGATGATATGGAAAATAATTCGTTTAGTATAGGAGACATGTCAAAATAATTCATCTAGTAGGAAATATGTAAAATAATTTGTTTAATATGAGACATATATAGTCTATTACTAGGAGAACAGGTATAGTCTATTACTAGGAGAACAGGTATAGTTTATTATTAGGAGATACGTATAGTCTATTATTAGGAGATATTTCGATGTATGGATGTAATAATAACGTCGCTTAATGCTCACTGAACAAAAAAAAAAAATGCGATGATAGATAAAGGAAGAAAAATTCAGAAGGTTAACATTTTCTCTTTTCAATTTTTCCACTATATGTTTGTTCTTTTAGTTTTTAATTAAATTTTAATATCTAAATGTAAGTCAATAACAACAATAACAATAACACTGATATGAATTCATTTTATGTTGCATTTATCACAAACATTTAAATTCATCAATCATTGTTTAATAAGAAAATTTTCTAAGTAATAAATATATTTATATATATATATATTTAATCCCATATATTGACGAATCGATTTATCAGGAATATAGCTAAAATATATTTGATGCCTGAATCCGGCAAAAAAAAAAGAAAAAAAACAAAAAAAAAAAGGCATATCTTATCGTTCACCATTCTTACTATATACAACCCAAAAGATAAAATATATTATTGATAAAATTAGAGAAATGAATGATGCTATTGGTATAGCTTTTGTTAATATAACTAAGTGACAAATTCAGCGACAAGCCATGGATGAAATGGACTTGAGGACAATTTTTT